AAACTTCACTAGAGTAGTCTCTTAGTTTTACTACACTGATATTGTGCTTTACCATTCCTTTCCTCAGAAATCAATAGTATGCTAGCATGGACTTAAAGTGGTTGTAAACCTCAGACATGAAATATGAACAAAGCATATGCCTCTATAGTGTGTATTTGTCTCTAACCAGGGCACTAAGTTTCATTACTGTCTGCTGCATCATCCCTATGCTATCAGCATGAATCCCTTCTGACAAGTTTTCCTGACATCAAGAGAAAAATGGTGACAGGAAAGGGATCTCTAGCAGATTCACAGCCTCAGTTCTGTTTCTGTCAGTTATGTGTAGGGGATGTGTCTCTTCCCTAAAATCAGCTCTCCGAACTCTCCTCATTGAGCTCTGCAGTGTGTAATTACAGCTCCCCACCCCCTTTTTTTCTGACATTTCTGACAAGCTTTATAAATTTGGGACCTTGAATGGATGTAGAGAAGAGAAGATCCAGATAAACAGGTACAACATATGTGGGAGGATTTATTTAATCTCTGTGTATCACCTGTATCACACTTCACTGGGTATATGTAAGGGTTTAACCTCCCTGGCGGTATTCCTGAGTGTAAACTTTCAGTACCAAAAGCGCTAATCCCGAGCTACACTCGGGATTACCCTGCAGCGTTGCTCCAGGATCCCTCTTGCACTTAGCTTATCCTTTGCCCCCGTGATGTCCCCCCTGCAGCATCCCCGGCCATTTCCTCCGGCCGATCCGTCCTCCGGGTTCCGGTCCCTGCGAGCGTTGGGACGTACAGGACGTACAGGGGATGGAACCAGCAGGAAATTAAAAATTTTTAAATGTGACATTCACTCAATACACTAAAATCACATAGTAAAACATTACTCTATCAAAGCATTTCACATACATTTTGTCCCTAGTGCTTTGTCCTGTGTCCTGCCTGCATTTTTACTGTTCTTTCTGCCTTGAAACTGAGAAATGTCCATGGTGTCCAAAAAGCGTCACTTTAGGTCAAAAGTGGTTTTAGACCAGCTAGAGAACAGCGATAGTAAATTAGAACCACTTGCAGAATTGAGTGATAATGAGTCGTGGGGAAATTCGTCATCAGACACTGAAAACGATTTAGCGACTAAGCTCAGCAATGTGCGAACTTGGCACTATATTTCAAATTTCAGTGTTTTTGGTTTGATTATATTATTGAATAAAAAATGTATTATTATTATATTATTATTTTTTATGATTATTTATTAAATTATAATTTATAATTTCGTGTTTCAAATTTTACCATACCCGGAATGTTTACTAGACTCTTGTTCGGACAGATTTCAGTGAGTTATTCCTAAAAATTGCAGACCTACAATAAAAAAATGACATATTTCCATGCAAAAAAAATGTACCGCTTTGAGCACAGAAATATTGACATAATCAGACCGCTAGGGAGGTTAAAACCACTTTAAGACAATGGAGGCTCTAGGTGGCTTACCCTGTATTTTCAGCACTGTATAAAGAGAGCTGGTAGAGGGAATTGTAAATGCAGGTAAAAAATTTGAAAGCTATGTCAAAAATGTACTTTCAGGTAAATCTTCCAATAATAAATGTACTGTATGTGGGATGAATCTGTGAGTAGTAGAGATGAAAGCCAAACTCCAGCCAATTTTTGCCAGGTTTTCAATACTAACTCAAAATAAACCATGCAGCAAAGACTCCTGATGGAAAAAGCGTAAAGGGTGCACATCAAAATGATGGTACTGTATAAAAAAGTTTTTATTTGTGTCTGTGACCAACTGGGGATATTTTTCCTTACTTCCTGTCCCTTTGACATCCATACAAGAAAAGGAGGATACATGGACAATACAGACAGCAATAGTAAAACTGGCAGACGCTTTAACCCTTTCCTACTCTGTGAAAATGTGTTTTTGTTTTTATAGTCTGTTTCCTTGCAGGATAGATGTCTAAACACTTCCCAACCCAACTGGAAGCAAAGGAAAAATTCCCCAACTGACAGGCTCTCTTCTCCCTCCCGCTCTATACAAAGAAAATATTTTGGCTTGGAATCTCCTTTTTACTGTCCACATTTGTGTCTGGATGGCCTACGCCATTTGTTTCAGATATTGCAAACCTTGCCTTCGTCTAGATTCCCCAGCCACCTTTGATGTTTCACCGTATCCCTCAATTTCGTCAGCCCATTGAAAGTAATTGGTGTCCATGCACTCTTCTGTCAGTCTTTCCAGTAACTTGGAAGCGCTTTGCCCGGCACAGCTTCCTGTCTAACCTGAAACTGGTTCCCTAAGTGCTCTGCTGAATGCACTGCATAATACAGGCCAAGTGTACTTTGTGAAGCGCAGCGCATTTGGTGAGATCTATAAAGTGTTTTTAAGTGATGGAGACAAAGGAGGAATGTTCTGGAAAATTCTCAGCATGCATCTTGGAAGATTCTGATCTGCTGCTCATTATTATACAGCACTTCTTGCATTAATGTTTGTCTTTTTCCCTATATATGCAGTATATAATCAGATTGATATAAATCTTTCACACTCTTCTAACAATTCATCAGCCGTGGAAAAGGAGAAGCTGCGACAGACTTGGAGCTTTGGACTGGAGATAAACAATCAATATGGCTGCACCTTGAATACATTTGTCATGACAGTGAAATATTAAGTTGCTTAATCAGAAGCTTTACCTAAATGAAATGTCACATTCTCGCTGGCAACATTCTTTGTGCTGCCATATTTCCTTTAAAGGGAACTTTTCCTTTTCCAATATACAGCAAAGGAAAAGGGTCACGTAACAAACCCCCCCCCCCATCTATCACATGCTGGGAGCCGGGAGAAATATCTGGAAGTTCTAGGTATAGGTAAGCAAGTGCCCTACTCTCCATTTCCCCCATGTATAAGTGCTATGTTCCTTATGGTTTGCTCAGTGCTGTCATATGGGGTTGGGGAAGGAATACATAGCCCTGTGTAAGCTCTGACAAATCAGTCTGGAGCTTACACAGGTCTTTCTCGCCCCATCCCATGGAGTTAATGGAATGACAGGTAAGCATGAAAGGTGAGTACTTTGGGGGGGGTGCAGTTGAGTGCAGTTGTGTCCAACATATCATTATATCTTCACCATATGACCAAAAGTATGAGGACAACGTCAAAATGATTGGGTTCATGTGTCTGCAGTGAAGGGTACTGTTAATGCCATGGTATGTAAAGATATTTTAGATATTTGCATGCACCTGTAAATGCTCCACTGTTTCTGCACATACAAAGGTAATCGAAGGGTGTCCTGCCATTAAAGGTAAGAGCTTTAAGGGTATATCATGTTATCATTTCAAGCAGAATCAAGGAGCAGCTTCATCCAATTCACTTCTTTAAAGCTGAACCCCTGGCAGATATAAAAGACACATATGAATACTGTTCTGTAGTCGTGAATACATCAATAAATTGTTGTTATTTTAAATGAAAGTAGTATCTGAACTTGACTTGGTATCCATAATTACAATGACTGTACAGCAGAGCTCAGACTGGAAGAGGGAGAAGCATCACAAAGACAATCGGTTGTGCTGCAGTGCTCATGTGTTTAATACGTTCCCGCCCAGACTATAGCAGATTGGAGGCCGAGCAGGACGTTTCTCCTTCTGAGTGGCTGTCATATGAAGTCCTATGAGAAGGTGCCGCTCACGCAGCTGACTGATCACTACACCACCCACTCTGACCAATCACAGCAGATCACATGACAAATGTAAACAATAGATGACTTCCTTTCATGCCATCCATTGTATACAATTGTGTTGTTAGCTGTGATTGGTCACAGTGGTCACATGGTACAGACAGGGCCTATCACAGCCCATCTGTACCATGTGATTACCTTTGGCCAATAAAAGCTAATCACAACAAAAGACACTGAATGAATCGGTTTCATTCAGTAAAAAAATTCTTATATCAATGAAATACATTGGTATAAACAATCATAATGTGTAAAAAAAAATAATCCTGATCACTTCCCCAGAGTAGTACAGTGTTGCTACGGTAACACTTTATTGCTCTGGTCACAGTGTGTTAAAAAATGTAAAACAAAATGCAATAACAAAATAAAAAGAAAATGTAAAAAAACTAAATAAAAATTTAAAAAATATATATATTTTTTTTTTTATACATACTGTCACCAGTCAGTGTCCCTGATCACCACCTTGCCAGTTATATGATTGGCTGTATTGGACTGGTGACAATATGTTAAAACAAATTGTGAAAACATTTTTTTTTAATTTCTTCATTTTCAAAAAATTGTGATAAAAAAAATACAACTTCAAAAAAATCGCCATGCCCCTTACTAAATACATTGGTCTGCCTATTTTCCAAAAAGCGGTCATTTGTACTATCCTGGCATTTTCAGGCCTCAAAAAATTAGATAAACCGTCAGTACATCAGGATTGATCAATTTTCAGATATATACCATAGTTTGTGGACTTTCCAACAGACTAAATAACATACACTAATTTGTTTTTTTTTTTCACCAAAGAAATGGAGCACATTTTCACCTAAATTTAGGAAAAAATAAAATTTTGCAAATAAATAACCTAACAAAAACAATAAAAATGGTTTTCTTTATTTAGCAAAAAATAAAAAAGACTCATTGGTGATTAAATACCACCAAAAGAAAGCTCTATTTTGTGAAAAAAGATAAAAATTCCATATGGGTGCAGTTTTGCATGACCGCACAATTGTCATTCAAAGTGTGACAGCACTGAAAGCTGAAAATTGGCCTGGGCAGGAACAGGGTAAAAGTGCCCAGTACTGAATTGGTTAAAAGGAGCATGGGGGGGGGGGGGGTAGATAGGCTCATCAATCTTCTGCTTCATTGTGCAGTCACAGGCTCTGGCAGGGACAAGACCAGTAACTGTTATTTAACCACTTCCCGCCCGCCATATAGTACTATGACAGACGCAAGGTGGTTCTCTCATTCTGGGAGGACGTCATATGATGTCCTCCCATTCTCAACGCGCATGCGCGGCTCAGGGAGCGCGCAGCGTGGCCCTCGGACACAGCGGATCACCGATCACGGAAAGAGCTGAAGATGTCGGCTCGGTCATGTGATCAGCTGTGTCCAATCACAGCTGATCACATGTAAACAGGGAAATGCCGGTTATTGGCATTTCTCTCCTCTCGAGCTGTCACGCTGACAGCTCAAGAGGAGAGGAGAGCCAGTAATCGGCTTTCCGCGGAGGGGAGATGTACACTGATCATCAGGACACTGATGATCAGTGTGCCCTGATGATCAGTGTAGCCCCAGCAGTGCCACCTGTCAGTGTCCATCAGTGGCTTGTGTCAGTGCTCATCAGTGCCACATCAATGCCACATATCAGTGCCTACCAGTGTACATCAATGCCACATATCAGTGCCCATGTGAGCTGCCTTTCAGTGTCACCCATCAGTGCCAATGCCAATCAGTGCCACCTATCAGTGCTGCCAATCAGTGCCACCTATCAGTGCCAGTCAGTGCCACCTATCAGTACGCATCAGTGCCGCCTGTCAGTGCCAGTCAGTGCCACCTAACAGTGCCAGTCAGTGCCGCCTAACAGTGCCAGTCAGTGCCGCCTAACAGTGCCAGTCAGTGCCGCCTAACAGTGCCATGTATCAGTGATGCCTATCAGTGCCCATCAGTGATGCCTGTCAATGCCCGTCAGTGCAGCCTATCAGTGCCCATCACTGCAGCATTATTAGCGCACATCAGTGAAGGAGAAAAATCACTTATTTACAAAATTTTATAACAAAAACAAAGAAAAAAAAATTTTTTTTTCAAACTTTTCTGTGGTTTTTTGTTTGTTTAAGAAAAAATTAAAAAACCCAGAGGTTATTAAATACCACAAAAATAAAGCTATATCTGTCACAAAAAAATTATAAAAATGTCATATGGGTACAGTTTTGTATGACCGCGCAATTGTCACTCAAAGTGTGACAGCACTGAAAGCTGGAAATTGGCCTGGGCAGGAAGGGGGTAGAAGTGCCCTGTAGGCTTGTGGTTAAAGTGGTTGTAAACCAGAGACATAATATGTAAACAAAGCATATCCCTCTATATGTGTGTACTCCAGAGCACTAAGTGCCATTTCTGTCTTCTACCTCTTTCTCTGCTATATGCATGAGTGACTACTGACAAGTTTTTTTCTGACACCAAGAGAAAAAAAGGTGTCAGGGAGGGACCTGCAACACACAGCCTTTGATTGACAGGATTGTGTCTCTTCCCTAGTTCTCACTGAGCTCTGCAGAGTTCAACCTTATATTCCCACCCCCTGCTTTTCAGAGCTGAGAGATGCTGTGAAAAGTCTGCACTTTGAATGGATGTACAGCAGTGTTCATTTCGTTGCCGAAAATATTTTCACCATAGTTTTTATCAGCTGCATGTTTTCAGTGAGAAAAACAAAATGAAAATCAATTCCAATTTTCATCAATTGACAAAAACTAAGCCGAAAATCAATTCTAATTTTTGTCAATGAACGGAGACGGAATGAAAATGTGAGGGAGGGACATGTAACCACCTGAATTTCCACTTTCCTCAGAGCTCCGCCTGTCTGATAAGGCCCCAGACCTCTGACTCTATCGGCAAACTGTATTGGCTGTGCAACAGGATGAGACTCTGTCACTGTGAGAAGACAGGAAAATGTGACACAGGATTCGCATTTAGGGTGAATGCGATGTTCCAAACTAGTGCTTCTGGGTAGAGAAAGCTGAGGATTTGGCTTTCTCTGGATTTGAGCATTTAATCCTGTGTCCTGTGTGGGTTTACTAGCCACCTGCAATCTGGAGCACACAGGTGTGAGGTGTCATTCCATACCCAGGCCTGAGGCTAGGTTCACATATGTGGTGCCGCTGTGGATCCGCACAAAAATCCGTGCAGCCGCACCACCCACACAGAAGAATGCGGAGCCACGGGCGGGTGCCATTAATTCTAATAGCATGCTGCCCACACTGGAAATCGCAACCGCACTGGGAACCTCAGTTCCCATGCGGGCTGCGGTTTCCAAAGAAGTTCAGGGACTTCTTCCCTGCGTATCCCGGGACACAGGAGTCCATTCAAATGAATGGGCTCTATTGCCCGCGGAAAACACGTCCTGCAGGAACGTGGATATGTGAACTGGGGGTGAGAATAGCTCAGGGCTCCCAGTGGGAGACAGCTCACAGTGTGCGAGACAGAAGGTCTAATCGAGGGGTCAGAGGAACCAACCAGGAAACAGAGGTCTCAGTTCCAGGAGTCAGGTCAGCTCCTATCAGGTTGTTAGGAGAACCCCCAATCCATAGCTCAGACATGGGCCATACAGCAGGGTGCTGTGACTAAAGGCTAAAAAGCCAAGCATCGAGGAGAGCTGGACAACACAATCAGAGAGCTGGTAGGAGGAGCAGCATGATACTGCAATTGAAACTGAGTGAAATTGTGAGCCAGGTGGCTCGGCATTTTCCAGTGTATGTATTTCTGCTTGAGTTGGAGAAGACACCCTGCGTGGGAAATCATTCTTTTGCTTTCTTTTCAATGAAAGCCCTTAAAAATATTTCCTGTCTGCCGTAAATTCACTAAAATAACACATCTACCACAAGTACTAACTACCCTATGCCACAGCTGAGAGATACAGGCTCCCTCTGTCTGCCTGCTGCCTGTGCCTGGGAGTTCTGGAGCAATGCCCTGCAAACCACAGAAGAGGAACTCTTCTGTCAGATTCGTGTCTGTCTAGATGTGACGTGGGGAGTGTTCCCCCTCCCAGGAAGGCAGCAGTGCTTAGCACTGTATAAAATAACACCCCCCCCCCCCCCCCCCCCACCATCCAGTTCTCTGCCCTGTGCACTCCCTCACTGCCATTTACTTCCCTATCCCCACTTGCAGCCTAAATCTGTGACTGTAGTGCACGTTCAAACCTTAATGCCATAAATAATATTATTATATTTTTACTCCAGGAGTATATAATGAATTTGGAAATTCTAGAGAAATGCTTAAATAATGCATTACAATTTAACTAAACATGTTAGATTTTAGTCGACTAAAATGTATTGGAGATTTCAGTCGACTAAAATATGACTAAAACTTAAGAGGACTAATATACAACTAAAACTAAAATGGCATTTTAGTCAAAAGACTAAAACTAAATCGAAATTCGACACAAAAATGAACACTGATGTACAGGGCAGATGGCTATAGATAAAACGGAACAACTTATGTAGGAGGATTTTTTTAATTTCTGTGTATCATCTAAGGCTAGTTACTTCACTGGATATTTGGAAGGACTTATAGTCACCTTAACTGCTAAAAAAAAATCAGGTCTTCTTCCCTGCCAGGGAAGTGGTAATGCTGTGTAAGGGATTTTGTGTGCTCTGTTCATAAGAGGACGCTTGAACAGACTTTTTTGGCATCCATTTACATCAGGCTACCTACTGTCAGCCACATTTAGGCTCAGAAAAAGTGGATAAGGACACAGTCTTATCCTGTTTTTTTTTTCCAGACCAGAACAGACTCGGAACAGGTGGATGTAAACGAAAACACATTTGTTTACATCCATCTGCCTATAGACTTACATGGAGCTTCTGATCAGGTCTTCCTGAAAAATTGATGGGTGGGCCTGATTGAAAAGCTAGTGTGAAAGGACCCTTAATCTTAGGACTAGATGGACAGAAATACAAATCCTTTGAAGGTGAAACAGCTCCCATATAGATATACTGTATATATTTCAAGTATGCATTTAGCTGTTTGCTTAGGGTTCAGCTTTAAAATAAGACTCCACTACCTCAAATCAAGATAGTACAAATGAAATGCTTTGACTCTTTACGCACCTGGTAAAACAGGCAACAAGTGTTGATAAATACAGACCTAGGAAATCATTCAGGCAATCACCACGTTTCATTTCTGCAGCAATTTGAGTAATTAAAAGCTTTTTTTTTTATCCTTTTGATACCCTTGATAAGTTGCTTTCAAACATGAAACAAATCCCAGGGGAGCCAATCACGCTCAGAGAGTGTTTATATTCCTGACAATAAACTCGGATAACACAGGCGGAATAAAGACCAAAGCACAGGAGTTACTGATTATGTTTGCAGTTAAGTGGAGCAGGGCCTCCCGGTGTAAATGGATTGGCTGTCATATTTTTAGGCACCCCCTCCCCATCAATATATGTTTCTTTGACATTCTCCCAATTCAATGGACCATATATCAAGCACACGGCCAAGATACCTAGAGATCCCCTTGTGTCTGCTCATTAGCAATGTACTTTCCCTTGTGTATAGCTGAGTCGAGTCTGTTTAATATCCTACTTGACTCAGGGGTTGAAGGTAGTTTGCTGAACATAAAAAAGAACAAGTCCGTGTTATATATGAAGTATAACTTTCATGCTGTTATAATCTGTCTCCTTGGACATTGGAGAATAGATAAGCTCAATAGTTGAATAGCTTAAAGAAGAACTCCTGCCTTCCCTGCAGCCTTGTACAGTTGAACAGGCAACTCTCCTGTACTGAAATTGCTTATTTTGGTTTAAGTGCATACTCTGAAAGTGTGAATAGGAAGCAGCAGCAAGTCAGATACAGCCTGTCTCATATCCTAGCTGTGTCCATCAAGGTCACAATTGCAACCTGGCCCCATGCTCCAGGGGACCAGTGTAGTTCCCCTGTACACCTGGATAGGAGGGGCGGCATATAGAGGAACCGATGCCTTCCATTCCTCCATTTTCCATCTGCAGGGGCCTGGGGCAGCAGAAAGAAAATGAAGCTGGACAGGAGGGGTGGCATATAACGGAACCGATGCCCTCCATTCCTCCATTTTCCATCTGCAGCCACTGAATGCCTGCTTCTCCTCCTCTCCTTCCCATAGGCATTCAGCGGCTTCAGGAGGAAAATGGAAGAATGGAGGGCATCGGTTCCTTTATATGCCACCCCTCCTGTTCAGCGTCATCTTCTTTATGCTGCCCCCAAGCCCCTGTGCTCTCTCCTGGCCCCTCGTGTGTTCTCCTGGGCCCCATCGCCCCTCCGCAGCTCTGATGGATTCCTCCCTCACCTCTCCCCCTGGTTGTTGAAGGGGATGTGTCAGGATGGAGAGCAAGAAAAAGGGCCAGTAAATATGCCATTTACTGTCCCCTTCTTTTTCTGAATAGAGTCAGTGATCGGTTCATTCATAACTGAACAATCCTAATCTGTGTTTTCTATGCTTCATTTTGTGAAGGAACAAGAAGTTGTGTACAGAGCTAATCCTGTCCATTCATTCTGTGCTGCAGAGATGGTGAGGCCTGTTTTCTCAATCTCCTTTCTCTGTCTTAAAGGTGAAACATCAGAGGTCTGTTTGGACCTCTGAGCTTTCACCAAATCCCCCCAATAGGGCTCCTAAGAAATTGTAACAAAATAATAAAAAATAAAATAACAAAATAAAAAAATTGCACTTGCGACTGGGCCTTGGTGCTCTGCCACAAGGCTAGAAGGGAAGGGTCCTGGACTCAGAGAGAAGGGCTTCAGCTGGGGGTCAGGGGGGGGTCTTTCATGGTTTCTTG